CAAGAGTTTGCAGGTTTCACCAAGGTGAGACGTGTAGGTCAGGAGGAACTAGAAAGAGAAACTAGGAAGAGAAGGTTCCCCGAACAGCACCCGAAGTTTAATCCTGAAAAACCGAAAAAGAGCGAATAGCTGGAGTTTTCCCAAGGAATTTCTTGGAACAGGAGCTGCAAGAATGGCAGCGGTCTTTGTTGTTGATTATTCTGGTCACACCGGAATTTCTGCTTCCGGGCCAAGGTTTATGTCAGGGCCAGTCGTAGAGGGTGCGTTGGGACTGGCCGTAAATTTCGAAGATTTTGGATGGGGCAATAGCCTGGGATTTTGCTTCGCTGTGGTAGACAGACTGGAAAGTATAGATAGAAGACAACTGTAGCCGTCTTTAGTCCATTTTCTCGCTGTCCTCGAAATACATGGGTCAGAGGAGACAAAGGCGACCTCCTCTGGATTAGGGATGAGGCAGTGCGGTGAGTGAGGTGGCAAGTGGGACCCCACTTCAAGAAACTGACAAACTTACTTTCACCATGTTACCATTGACCATACCGCAACCCTTTTAGTATTGACAGCTGTGATATTTCGGGGTTACCTATGATTCAAAAAGATCCCAGGCAGTTTCCGACCGGAACAGTAGAGCCAGCATTACTCCCCTAGAATCTGTTTCTTCATTACACAACAGCATTTTCAGCGTCGGTGCAAGGGCCTCTTTCCGAGTTCCCTGGTGCACCCTCCTTTACGAGAAATATCAAAAGAAAGGGAAGGGACCAGTGGGGAGGCATAGCGACTCTCTCGACTCCCTCCACCCATACGACAAACCTGGAACCTGAATTCCAAATGACCTCCTCCCCCTCCCTCCGTTCAGTAGTTTCTCTAATTGAAGCTTCACGCGAAACTTTCTACTAGTTCCGCTATTCAAACAGCTAACTTCCATTTTCAGCTATCCTTCAATGAATTTTGATGTGAATATTTACAGATCATGGTGGAAAAGCTCGGGGTCGGCGTACTTGACGAACTTAGCGAGCTTAACATTGATGATCTTCTGACTGAAGCAAATGTAGCAAGGAAGAAGCGTGGGACTTCAGCATGTGGAATCACAGACTGCGCTGATCCGAACAGGTGATGCCAATTGACTTGTTGTAGTAGTACGAATAAAAGTGAACAGTAAAACGCTTGTTAATGATTATAGGGAATGAAAGAGTGAACAGTAAAAGCACTTCGGTAATGACTCGTAGGGATCCAGGCGATTGTTTGGATCGCATGGCGTGTATCCATTGGCAGATGACATCTTTTGGGAACAGTGCTGCAGAGGGGTGAGCTTCGTGGAAGGTTCCAGATCCAATGTAGGCCGTTGGAGAACAATGGCCGATGTCATGAGGGAAGCTAGCTGATAGGAGATGTCAGTTGGCAACAGACCCAAGTTATACTAACTCATGGGCGCTTGTTTGGCCCAAGCTTGTGGCGGTCGGTGGCACTTTCTATTTTTTTTGCGTAGCATCAATTTCCTTACCTTAGAAGTCTTGTAAAACTGCAAATTGGATCAAGCTCGTAGAGCCAGCAAACCATCGTAAATTAAGAAATAGTGTGAACCTCACTATTTATGGCTGTAATAGCCTCACGCTGTGCCCCACCCTTCTTTGCCCCTAATCTCAGAGCTAAACAGTGCACCTCCCTTAGTTACAGCAAAGCTCATGAGGGGGTGAAAGTGTGAAATATTTTTCGCATAGATAGCTTCCGATAGATGCTATATTTAGTATTTGGATCTAAAACTGTGACTGCTTGATCATTTCAGCAACGGGATTCGAACAATAACTGGTAAATGCAACAACGTGAAGAATCCGATGCAAGGGGCGGCAGTGACCCCTGTTCGCCGCCTTCTTGGAAAACCCAGCTACGCAGACGGTGGGTTACTTACTTGGAGTTTCGATTTGTTGTTATGTCTATTACTCCACTATGGAAATGTTCACGTCTTTGATAAGAGAACAAGGCACACCATCGTTGGCAGAATCCCATCCAAGGGGAGGGGGGAGGGTTGTACTTGGCTTTGTGCCCTTTCCCGTAGCCGTACTATATTTATTTATGACAGTTGGTTTTGGATAGGCGATGGGTGATGAGCACTTCCCACCTCCTCTTCACCCAGGGCAGCGATTCGGGAATAACTGGGCGATGGTTCAGGTATCGCTGGTAATTTTCCTTGTCATAGGGAGAAATGAATGGAGCATGGCAGAATATTCCTTTATCACATTTTGATCTACGATTTTTAACAGGTTTCAATGCGATACGAACCAAAGGCGTCAAGGGAACAACTCTTCCATCGACAAGAGAAATATCGAACAAGCTCCACCAAGAGGTACAACACAGTTCCTTAACTTCCTGAATACATTAGTAGTCTCAAACGGCTGTTCACTGGACAGAATTACAATCAAGGATACGGTGTGTGAGGGGCGTGGAT